GGTAAGGGTCGATCGGTAGGCAAAATATTGTTCCCCATAAAGCACATTCAATTTGGGATTTCACAATGCTGTGTTGGTCCCTACTTTAACGTATGGTAGTGAAAGTTGGGTGTGGCAGAAGAAGCACGAGAGTAGAATAAACGCAGTAGAAATGCGGTCGTTAAGGAGTATGTTAGGGCTGAATTTGAATGAGAGGGTGAGAAATTGTGTACTAAGAGTAGAGTGTGGTTCGCAAGATAATGTTGTGACCAGGATTAAGAAAGGAATGCTTCGGTGGTTTGGTCATGTGGAAAGAATGAATGAGGAAAGAGTGACAAAGAAAATGTATGTTTCAGAAGTGTCAGAAGTGTCAGAATGGCAGAGTCAGATAGGGACGTCCTAGGCGAAAATTTATGCACCAAATTAGCGATTTATTGAAAACGGGCCAAATTAGGAGTACCCTTAACCGACGAGCATGTATGCGTAGGTATATGTATGTAAAGGAGGAGAGACAGATGTGTCAGGATCGTGCCAAATGGAAGTCTGTAGTCTCTGCCTACTCCTCTGGGTGACAGGCGTGAGTTTTTATGTATGTATGTAATGTAAGAATCAAAATACAGATGCGTTGTCACCCCTGGGGACTAATATGGAATTCCTCATTTCCAGTAAAAAGTATCTCCGTTTCACTACACTCACCATATGAAACACAACAGCATTTAGCTGCTATTTTACGCTGGTATATCCTGTGAGAGTGTGGTTCTACCCTGGTCAAGTCGACGCACAGAAATAGTAATAATTTGTGAATATTATTACGATTTCTGTGAGTCGACCCATTCCTGCTACAACCATAAAATGGGTGCAGCGTGGCTCTACCACGTTTTTTTTTTAATTATGACGGCCTCGTTGGTCTAATACTTGTATCATGACTGTTGATTTATCAAGGTATACATGTAAGAGAATCTAAGAGCCTTCACATTTTTAAGAAACAACTGAACATATTTACCACTACTGAAATGTAAGTTTATTAAACCGAAAATGCATTTTATAATATTGACGTTTATTTGTTTGACAATTTTTAAATTTGAACTATACAATTTATTGAAGAGAACTACAAAATTTTATCTGACTATATAATTTAATTTTAAGACATAATTTTAATTATTACATTGTTTATATATTATGGTATTATGTATGGTGGTGGATATTTTTTTATAGGAGATGGTGCAAACGAGCATACGGCTCACCTGATGGTAAGTGATTACCGCCGCCCATGAACAACTGCTACACCAGAGGAATTTCAGATGCCTTGCCGGCCATTAAAAAGGAGTCGGTTCTTTTCTTTAAGGTCTCTAAGTCGAATCGGTCCGGAAAATCCTCTGGTGGTGGTCCATTCCACGAGGAATTTGTGTGAGGCAGAAAACTTCTTTTAAATCGCACAGTGGTGGACCGCCAGTCATCCAGATGGCATGGATGGTATCGCGACTTTTGTCGCGATGTGCGATGATGTGAAATTGTTTGGCTGGAATTAGTCCGAACAATTGCTCAGAGCACAAAATACGCAAAGAAATGCAACATCTCTTCGCAGTGTCAGTGAGTCAAGCCGATCGGAAATAGCTCGGTCGCTGACGATTTGAACGGCTCTGCGCTGGAGTGATCAAATGGAAGAAGCTGATTCTGAGAGGCCTCAGCCCAGAGATGGGAATAGTATTCCATGTGCGGCTGAACCTGCGCCTTGTTAAGTTGCAAGCGGTGTGCCGGCATGAAATACTGTCCCATGTGCTGAGCACCCCAAGCTTTTTAGAGGCCAATTTGGCCTTCTCTTCCAAGTGACCACGAAACGATCCACGTAGGCGAGGTAACCAGTTATGTCAGACAATATGCCAAAGCAAAGTCTTAAACAGATTTATCCGCATGATCAGTTAATCGGGAATGAAGTCATTCAGCGTAATGGGCGTTAAAATCACCAAGCATTACGATGTCTGTGGATGGGACCTCTTGTAGCACGGAGTCTGCAGCCACTTGGACGTGGTTGATGAGTCTGTCTATGTCGGCATTACAGCTAAAGGACTCATAGAGGCACCCGTTGACGCGGGAATGGTCATCGCAGCATCGGTCTACGCGCAGCCATAAGAAGCACAGATCCGTACCTTTAAGGCTGCCGAGGCGTCCAAAACAGATGTCTTCTCTAACGTACACACAAACTCCAGTCCGGGGCACAAAGGAGTATTCTATATTGTACCCCTGGTAGGAGAAATACGAAGTATCAGCTAGAGAGGACACGTTAGTCTCGGCTAGAAAAAGCAAGGCCGGCTTCGCTGTTTCCAGATGGTAGTCGACGACGTTAGGGTTTGAATGAAGTCCCCTGATGTTGCAGAAATTCACGGATAACATGGCAGAGAGTGCCTTTGTCTTATTGCTCCGTTTAGGTTTAGTCTCGAGACGAATTTCGCCCCCCCCCCCCACCTAGAATATGCGGGGTAGCTTAAACACCCACGCACACAAGTAACTTGGGCGTGGGATACCCAGCGAGGGATTCTCCCTCACGTCGACAGAAGATAGAATATGGCAGTATTTTTGTTAAATTGTTAAGACTAAATATTTTTAATTTAAATTTGATCATGAGGACCTTGATTCCAATCCCGGGTCGGGCAAAAAAAGATCATTTATTGATTTTTTCTGTCAAGAAACTGTCAGTAGCTGGCCTGAGTCAGGAAGATGGCGATGTCTCACCGCCGCGCCGTGCCTCTGAAAGCACGTAAAACCGTTGGTCCTGCACCTGATCTCTCTCTTCGGTTTACCGCACTACGGACTATGAGAGTGTGGGAATAGAGAGTGCATCTGTGCTTGCGCATACCTTAATACTACAATGCTGTCCTGCGCAGATGGCTAGTATCCGTTGAGGCCGGCAGACGTGACCGAAATTCAGTCTGGAGGACAATATTTTACCTACATATATATAGTGTTTGTATATAAGTTAAAATTTTGATATCAGGAGATATTCATTAGGTACAAGCGTGCTAATTGTGATCGTCAATCCGTCATCCAGGCATGGCGATTAAGGCAACTTCTCAGTACCACGATTGAGGCCCATAACTAGCCCTAGTAAAAAAAATTAAAAAAATGGGTACATAAAATACTGAAAAAAAAAGAAGAAAAAGTGCTGGCTATTTACAGAAGCACTTGCTCATCCTAACCTATTAGTGTTTGGCAAAACGTATAAACTATAAAATATGACCACAGAAATCGTAATAATGAGACAATAGAAGTCGCGTAGACGCATGACCTGGTCGCCGCTATTATGTGTTGACGAACATGATTCATCATTTTGTGATTTAGTTGCGCGGGGAACGTCGTACGTGAATTTATGTTATATAATGGTGAACTGCAGCATAATAAGTTGATTATTTACTAATTATCATTGTTTTAACTAATTTACATCTATATGAATACTTTACTATGATATTTACCTTTGTAAACTTTCATTTATTACTTTTTGTATTGACAATTACCATTGCTGCTTTTGTTCTACCGTAATACGCAACGTACGCGACGTTGACAAATTCGCCAAGCAATGTAATGTGAAACATTAGATATCATTGTGCATTGCGTATGTTTATAATACGGCTGCAGGTGGCGACATCGGTTTTGAAGTAATCGAGCGCTAGTTCATTTCTATTGTCATTATTACTATTTATGTGCATACGACATAATCGCAACACAGCCTGGACCCGAATACCATAAATTCATGGCTGTCCAGGACTAGCGGCCTAGTTGCCAAGCGCTACGTGTTGTGGTAAAAGTAAAAAAAGTGACTTTCAATAAGAATTTTTTTACGTGGTAGAGCCACGCTGCAGCTATATTATGGTTATAGCAAACTACTATTTATTCTGTGATTATAGCAGAAATGCTCGACCGGGGTAGAATCAGGCCCTTTCAGAATACCAGCGTAAAATAGAAGCTCAATGCTGCTGTGTTTCGTATAGTGAGTGTAGAGAACTGGGAAACCTTTTGGTGGAAACGAGGCATTCCATCTCAATTCTCAGTGGTGACACAATGATTTTATCAAGATTTTGTTTAAATGTTTCTAGGCCACAGCATTCAGGTTGACTGTGTGCTCTTTTGTCACCCTTATTCTAAAAAAAAATAGAATCTATGTTGAAAGAAGAAGATCTAATTTAGCCTTCTCATCTCTTGGAAGAGAAGACCAAATTGGCTTCTAAAAAGCTTGGCGTGCTTAGCAGAGCGAGACAGTATTTCATACCAACACAACGCTTGCAACTTTACAAGGCGCAGGTTCAGCCGCACACGGAATACTGTTCCCATCTCTGGGCTGGGGCTCCTCAGTGCTAGCTCCTTTCATTTGATTGCATTCAGCGCAGAGCTATTCGAATCGTCGGCGACCGAGCTCTTTCCGATCGGCTTGACTCACTGGCACTGCGAAGAGATGTTGCATCTCTTTGCTTATTTAGTCGTATTTACCACGAGAAGTGCTCTGAGAAATTGTTCTAACTAATTCCAGCCGCACAATTTCACCATCGCACATCGAGACAAAACTCGCGATACCATCCATACCATCTGGATGACTGGCGGTCTACCACTGTGCGATTTAAAAGAAGTTTTCTTCCTCGCACAACTTCCTCGTGGAATGGACTACAACCCGAGGATTTTCCGGACCGATACGACTTAAGGACCTTCAATAAAAGAGACTACTCCTTTTTAAAAAACCAGCAACACATCTGCAGTTCGCTGGTGTTGCAGTTGTTCATGGGCGGCGGTAATCGCTTACCATCAGGTGAGCCATATGCTCGTTTGCCCCCTCTCCTATAAAACATATAAAAAAATATTGAATAAAAATTATTCTATTCTATTCAACGTGGTTAACTTGGCCTTATCAACGCAAACTGTGTTTCGAACACTAAGAATAACAAGTAATTAAAAAAAAGTTTCCTTTCCGCCCCTTTCCGTTATGAGTGATGAGATGAGCGTTATGAGTCGAGTACAATTTATTAACTGTGCCTCACCGCCCGCGCTCGCCGCTAGCTAGGTCTGTGTTTTGGTACCTGGAGGGCGCATCAGGCTCTGAGAGACTTGATTCTTCCACGTCTGATTCTGTTTCTGTCCGTGCTTCTTCTGTCGTTGTTGTCACATCTTCCTCTATTAAATATATAAAAGTAAGCATTTTTTGAGTGAATGACCGACTGATGATTTTCAACACTGTTAGTACTGTTTTAACTATAATAAAGGCTGCTTTGAAATTAGAAGACTTATCAACTCTGATTAATAACAATCAACGACGTTTTTCGACGAATTTCATTCAATTTGAACCAATAGTTTAAGAATTATAACTAGGTAAAGTTTCTTAATTTTGTCACTCACTGACTGACCGATCATCAAAACTCTAAGGCACTTCTAGCAGGCATAGAAGCTTTAAACTTAGAATACAATTAGGGTTTAGTGTATAAACCAAGGAAAAACTAAAATATTTTTTAATTTCGGTCCAGTTTTCTAGATACACCAACTGCATAAATAACTTTGTAATATCATATAAATATATAGAATTACAAAGTTACATTTGCAGTGAATGAATCAGTGTACTTTTATATGTATAATAGGTGTAGGTAGATAGGTACGTTGTTGATATTCAAGAAGCAGAAGGTACCGGAAAGGTAAAAAAGTAGAACTATCTTATCTACAAAAAGAAGTGCGATGCCATCAAAAACATAACTTGTATAAAAACCAAGTCTCGCAACTCAGTTCTTCTACCGTAAAAAGTTGTGAGTTCCATGTAATACCAAGTCGGTTAATTTATTCAGTCCCTACTTAAGGGTCCTTCTGTTCTAAGTTATTACGTAATTAGCTAACCTAACAACATTTTATAGTGACCATACCAATGTTAAAAATCTTTTATGTTTTAAATAAATAGATTGACTTGGTAATCGAACGTAATTTGTTTATTTTTGTTCCATTAATTTTTCCCTGCTAGCGCGTTTTATTCCTTAATAGTCGTCAGGGCGACCACTTTTATCTTCATGTCTCAAAATTAGTCAACCGTGTGGAATTTTGTTATACCAACTGTACACGATACTTTAAATGGACCTTTATCCACAAATGCAATTTGGAGTCTGTCAAACAATTCGTTCGATTTTAGGTAACATTTCAAATTAAAAAAAAACATTTCTGACCAATGTTTTCGACACATACTCATATTCAATGAAATACTAATAAATAGTTTGTAAAAAAGTGAAGAAATTTAAAATTGGTTGGTGAACATTGGTATTGTTAATCTCTACACAGTATAAAAGAAAGTCGCTTCCCGCCGTCCGTATGCTAAGATCTTTTAAACTACGCAACAGATTTTGATGCAGTTTTCATCAATAGAGAGAATGATTCAAGAGGAAGGTTTGTATATATAATACATGCATATGTTCTGCACTAGGGTCGACAAAGCAGATATAGTTATAGGAATATTATATGACTTACAGTTCAGGAGAGAGAGAGTAGTTGTGCATACTTACATATGCTGCGCAAACCTGTTGGAAGCTCCTTATCACATATTATTAATTGCCTAGACTTTTTCGACTATCATAAACGAAAAACAATTTAGCAATACAACAGTCCATGGACACCTACAGACAAACTTCAAACAGAGAAGGCTACACACGCGCTGCCACCTCTGAGGACTAAAATATAGAGCCCGATAGCCTGTAATTATGCTGGCTCTATACTCTTCAGACCAGAACACAGACTGCTATTAGGTAGCAGACATGAGTAAGATTGTGGCACCCAGCCAGACGAACTCTTAGGCAGTAAAAAGAATCCTACCTTCTAGTATAACATTATCCTTATAAGTCAGAGATTTCAAACCTGTCGTCTTTTCTTCTTCTGTCGTTTCTTCCACGCACTCCTTTTGGTAAGTCCTGATTAGTTTAATTCGTAACCTTCCGAACGGATGGAGATCTTTCATGTCCATTTCGTAAAATGGCGAATCTTTATCGTAGGAGCTCATTTGCACACGAGATATCGCGTCTTGAGGAAACGTCTCGATATTCATTGACTGCAACCATTACAGTTAAGTATACTATTATAATATTCATTTTATATTGATTATGTTATAGATTTAAAATAGCCGTCGTAGATTAAATTAACAAGCAAAAACATATCATATCCAAGAAAAATAATTATCAAAAGACACAATGACCAAAAATTGTGGCAGACATAGAATATCTGGCGGGCACATGCGTTGGAAATATATTTATTCCTCAACAATGTGAAAAAAATACATCTTAAGAAACACTGTAGTTCTTCAAAAGTTCTTACTTGAAGAATAGTAGTGCCACCATGGAGGACGGAAAAATTAAAAAGCTTCTGAAGGACTTCAAGTACCGGTTTCCTATCCGCTTTTAAAAGCTCCGCTGTAATTCCATCCTCGCTCGGGGACTTGCCGTTTTTAAGGTGCTGGAGAGCCATTCTAATCTTGCTCAGACTGACGTCCGCAATATCATCGCAATAGTATCGGATAAGACTTGCTCTTGGATCATTACTCACACTTGCGTGTGACTCCAACGATGCCTGATGATGAGCTCCCCATAGAACCTTTCAATCTCACTCAAAATCTCAGGTGTCCAAAAAACGATACTGCCACACTCAGTCTTCAGCTTTGACAGTTGGCTCTTTCTGGCAGACAGATCTCTGGCAAAGACTTTGGAGCCCTGGTTCAGCTCAATCGCTTCTTCAATACGAACTGTATTGAAGAAGCCTAAGTCCCACTGAATGTATTTGGAGATCTGTCTGTTCAGTTGCCTGTATGCTGTCAAAACTGCTGAAGACTGCAGCTTTATTTCTCGTCTAACAGCCATGAAATTAAAAGTGTAATCGGAGACTTGTGGACAATAAATCCGACAACTCCTTGGGACAGATGGTCGCCATCCTGGTGATAGAACAAGTATTTTATTTATTTTATTTTATAGGATAGGGTGACAAACAAGCACACAGTCCACCTGATGGTAAGTGGTTGCTGTGGTCCATAAATATCTACATCTATCCTCGATTACGAATCAAAATGCAGATGCGTTGTCACCCGTGAGGACTCAGATGGAATGCCTCGTTTACAGTAAAAAAGGGTCTCCGGTTCTCTACACTTACCATACGAAACACAGCAGCGTTAAGCTACTATTTTACGCTGGTATTATATATATATATATATATATATAAGTTGCCGGATTCGAGGTTTACCTTGTCCTCCCCCTCTCTTCGGACCTGGGATAATCCTATAATATTCCAGCACCAGCGTCAGTCCTCAGAGTGCGTGCATTATATGTTGCCAGGCCGAGTCGAGCCTTAGATGGTAAAAGAATCTCAACCGGAGAATCTTAACTCCCCCTGCCCCGCCACTTATTTGCCATTAATTTGTACAGTACGTGAACAAGCTAGCGTTGAAAATAATCGAAAGTTCGAGTCAAAGAATCGAGTTCGAATAACGAATCGAAGTTGAAATTAATCGAAATAGATGAGTTTACGAATCAATAAAAAATAGTTAAACTAAACTAGTTTTCTATATTCTTTTAAGAAGTTCGTCGAAAAACAGGATTCTCATCACGACGTTGTATTATAATACAGGACATTAAGAAATTTTCTATGTTTTAAGTTTTTAAGTAACAATGAGAAACAACTTTTCAGTGGCTTGTGCCTTTCATCTTGTCTCCCTTGATTTAGTATTGGTTAACGAGTGTAGGATCCTAAGTCCTCCTAATCCTCACAAGACTTAAATGGTATTATAGAACTAGGTGTAATTTGGAGTTTGACTTTCGAAAAATCTAAGTGAGAGCCCTGAATCGGGAAATGTAGCCGAAGAAATAGCAATGAGCCTGATTTCTATTGCATTTGATTAAAGTGAAATCTGCTCAAACTATCTGGCATAGTAGGTGTAACAATATAAAAAATCTCAATTAAATATCCAGAATATCTTACCTCATAAGATATCCCACTGTCAGTCCCGGCGTCCCACGGAAATAAATTGAGTTCTCTTTCCTGAAGCCATGTATTGTCCTCTTGGCAGAGTTCAAACCTTGTGACTCCGAGGAACCAATCCGGAGAGGGATGGATACCCACAGCCACACTGATCAGATGATTAGTTTTGTCGGTACGGACGAAGGCGTAAGTAGGGTAGTTCATTTTTGGGTACCCGTGACCTTTTCCTTTGATCATAGTTCGAACTCCGTCACCTATCTGTAGGTGCGTTACAACAAATTATTAGATTAATAGAACAAGTGCACACATTTTAGTCAAGAAATGACTTATTACATCACACACACAAGTACATGCGCGCGCGCACACGCAAACGCACACGTTTGCAGGCACACACGCACGCGCACAAGCACACTGGTCCGAACACGATAAGAACGCCGAAAAAAACGGCATCGATCGAAAAAAGCTTGAAATTGTTGCTAAATTGGGACAAGTAGAGAAAGTAGTATGAGGGGGTTCTCTAGAACGATCTACGTAAATATATCGAATCAATAACTAATAGTTTAAAACTGATTGTAGACGGGTGATTATGAGATTTGGAAGTTGAACACCTCAGTCACCCCGTGATCTTGAGGATAGGGTGATGGATTCACTTACAGCACTCATGTGACAAAATTAGACCACAACCAAATTAAACCAAACGTACCTTCTCTCGGATTTCAACTTCAAGTTTGCTCGTATTTGTATGTTCGGCCAGTTCTCTGATACCTTGAGAAGCGAGGGAGCCAGGTATCCATAGAATATAGTCGACAGCGTGGGAGGCACCCACCAAGTCACTGAATCTTGGCTCCCATTCTTTTTCTGGATACTGCCGTGGATGTGTGTTCCGCGACCAAATACCAGTGAACGTGATCTGTAAAGATAGTTTATAAAAAAATTCTTAAAAGTATAAAGCGTAAATTTAATTCAAACTGAATTAAATTTACGCTCACACTAATGAACTTTTAATTGTCATTTTAAGTGCTGATCTATCAGTATTTTGTGGTGAAGCAAAACATCGTGAGGAAATTTGCCCGTCTGCGAATATAAAAAAATTGAAAATATGTAATGTCCATCAGCATCCGTTGAGGCAAAGCGTTAGATTCTTCCCTGCTCTAAAACCCCAGACCAAGGCGTATTGTGCCTACAATGCTGAATACAGGTTCCCTTTTAAATTGCCTATAAACGGTATAGAATATATAGGGTTTATTAAAATTATATTATCTAAATAAACAGAATCAAAAAAATTGAACAAATATTTTTTAAAGAATAAGGGTGACAAACGAGCACACAGTCCACCTGATGGTAAGTGGACGTTGTGGCCCACAGACATCTACATTTAACCTCGATTAAACATTAAAATGCAGATGCGTTGTCACTCCTATAGGACTAAGATGAAATGCCTCGATTCCAGTAAAACGGGTCTCCGGTTCTCTACACTCACCATACAAAACACAGCAGCATTAAGCTGCTATTTTACGCTAGTATTCTGTGAGAGTCCTTTCCCGGTTGCGCCGACCCATTCATGCTAAAACCATAATAGCTGCAGCGTGGCTCTACCACGTTGAAAAAATCATATTTTTACACCGCGACTACTCGGTCGGTATACTATATCCAAAAAGAAATAAAGCTGTATACCTACCTCATACTTAGCTTCATCGCAGATCTGGCAGTTGTAATTTAGCTGCGGCGTGACGTCATCCGGCTGTCTAGTGTCCTCGCAAAGCTGCTGGGTCAATGGTGGTCCATCTTCAAACCAAACCACTTCGGTTTCAACGACCATCGCGCGTAAAGTGACGCAGCCATTACCAGACTCCGGAGCTTGCCAATATACCTGGCGATAGTGCCGGATTAAGCTAAAGTCATAGTAGTACTATTGCCTATAGGTCTTGCGGCTAGAGAAAATACTTTATTACGTCTTTTAGTCCCGCTACATATATACGAAAGTATGTGGCCGGCCTTAGAAGTTGTAAAAAGATGAAAAAAGTCACAGTAGTTGCTTTGCCTGGGAGCCTCTATACATGAGTAAATCCAACTCCGTCCGCCATCATATTTTGATATGATGGCGGGCAATGCTTATTTCTATTTAAAATCATACAATTACATCCGTTCGTTGTTTGAAATAACAATTACTTGGTAAAGATAGTTCGTTTTCTCTACTACAATAAACCCAAGGAAAATTTTCGATAACTTATATATTTATTTAGTAATGATTATTCTCCTGATGCATGTTAAGGCCAAAACTCTAAGAGACATGATTTGGGAGCCCTAAAATGTAGATTCTATTGAATATCGACCATAAAAAAATATTTTTATCTCACAAATATCCTATACTTTAGTAATGATAAATATATTTTCGTTATATGCCTTTCACGTAAGGAAAAAAATCGACATAATTCAATTATCTACCGAAAAAGCTTCGATACAAGCCCCGGAATCTCCGAAGTTCAACGTCATTTTGACGTAAAATTTATACCAAAATAATCAATATTTGCTTAAATTATACTATGATTTTTACTTTTCAAGTCGTTACTATTGTTACGATCTTGAGGTTCGTGACAATAAAAACTGCTGATTGAATTACCAAAATTTACAAATTTATTCATCATCATCATCATCATCATTACAGCCCTTCACAAGTCCACTGCTGAACATAGGCCTCCCCCAAGTAATGCCACAAAGCACGGTCCTGAGCCACCTGCATCCATCGACTTCCTGCATGTCTTACCAGGTCGTCACTCCATCTAGTGGGGGGTCGCCCTACACTACGCCTACCGGTACGAGGCTGCCACTCGAGAACCTTTCTTCCCCATCGGTTATCGGTTCTTCGAGCTATATGGCCGGCCCATTGCCACTTCAGCTTACCAATCCGTTGGGCTATGTCGATCACTCTGGTTTTACTGCGGATATCCTCATTTCTGAGTCTATCACGCAGAGAAACTCCAAGCATAGCCCTCTCCATAGCTCGCTGAGCGACCTTAAGCGTCCTCATACGGCCAGCAGTGAAGGACCACGTCTCAGATCCGTAAGTCATCACTGGCAACACGCACTGGTTGTACAATCTAGTTTTTAGAGATTGAGGTATACCTGACGAAAAGATATTACTATATACTTTTATTGCCCAAGACCAATTAAAACTTAAAAACACTAATAATTAATCACACTGATTCACTTTATTTCGCTCCGAAGCTTCGCTTGTGTCGCCAAAATTCAATACTTCTTCGATCGCATCTTGCAGCGCCTTTAAATACACATTATCACCGAAACATGCAGAATATTCAAGTAAATACGTGCGCCAATCGACCAGGCGCTGAAAGTTCGAGTGTAGGGCTTCTAGAAAGCTTAGTTCTTCATTTCGATACTAGATGGCGCTGTCGGTTGAAAGATTAGTGATGTCATTTTCTGGAAAGCTCTCCTCGCTCTGTTACCCGACACAGATGGCGCTAGTGCCAGACGTCAAATTAGGCGCGCAACACTGCCCTCTCCTAAGACATGCTCGTCCCGAGCATTATCGGCCCCATAATAACGCGCCAGGCGATCCACATGGACGATCTTAGGAGTCCCTCTTGCGCCTTTCTGTATCCGGTAGGTTACATCGTTGATCCTGGTTACAATCCGGTACAGGCCGTCCCATTTAGCTTGAAGCTTAGGAGATTTCCCTTTGCTGCGGACTGGATTGTGCAACCACACTAGTGAACCTTTGTCGAACCCTTTGTTGTTCATTTTGCGGTCATACCGGGTTTTCATCTTTTCAGACATTTGCTGGCCCGATTGTCTGACGTGCTCATAAATGTCATTCATTTTGTTCCGCAAGTCATTTGCATAATCGGTTATACTGCGTGGGGCATCAGGTGGTATCCCGGTGATCAGGTCTGCAGGCAGCCGTAATTCTCTTCCAAAGTTTGCGAAAGCTGGTGTCACTGCTGTACTTTAGTGAACAGCGCTTCGATATAATAACAAAAACGGTTGTATGTGCTTGTCCCAATCTCGTTGCCGATTGTCTACAACTTTTGCTAGGTACCTCTCCAATGTCTGATTAAATCGTTCTACCATTCCATCAGATTGCGGGTGATAAGAACTCGTTCTTGTTTTATGAGTACCCATAACTCGGCAAGTTTCCTGAAATATTTGAGACTCAAAATTCCTTCCTTGATCGCTGTGAATCTCTAAAGGTACTCCAAAACGACAGACGACTTCATGAACTAGTTTATCTGCAACTGTTGAAGCTTCTTGATTTGGAATGGTGAAGACTTCTGGCCACTTAGTGAAGTAATCCATCACAACCATGAAATACTTGTTACCACTTTCACTCTCCGGAAACGGCCCCGTCACGTCAATGGCTATTCTCTCCCATGGTGCACCAACATTGTACAACTTCAACCCACCTCTACTACGAGTCTGAGGTCCATTTACGGCCGCACAACTTGTACATTTGCGACACCTGTCCTCGACGTCGTTTCGACATTGGACCCAGTAAAACCGTTCTCGGATCTTCAGTAGAGTTCGTTTAACTCCCAGGCCTCCTTAACAATCATTATGGTACAGCTGTAGAACATCCGGTACTTTAGCTTTAGGGACAACCATTTGCAAATGACAGCTGTCTCCCCGAACATTTTCCCATTTACGGCACAGAACTACATCCTGAAGCAGCAAGCTGTCCCACTGGGCCCAATAGCTTTTAGTTGTCGAACTCATGGCTGAGACGTCGCTCCACTTGGGCTTGGGAGCACTGGCCTTCATCCATTGCAGAATCGGCTTGATGTCCGGTTCTTCCTGCTGTGCACGTTGTAAGCTGTCCTTCCACTCGTTGCTGAGGTGGTCTGTCCTGAGCATCCTCACGGATATCACTTCCTTACTCTCTTGCCTAGTACAATGTTTGCAATCTTCAGGACAAGGTCTTCTTGACAATGCATCGGCGTTGCCATGAGATTTCCCGCTGCGATGTTCGATCTCAAAGTCGTATTCCTGCAGTAGTTCAATTCACCTCGCAACTTGACCTTCTGGATTTTTAAACTGCATTAGCCATTTAAGTGAAGCATGGTCAGTTGGTAAGTGAAATTTTCGTCCCAGAAGATATTTGCTAAAATGCTGCAACGACTTTATCACAGATAGCAATTCGCGTCTTGTGACACAATAGTTCCTTTCCGGTTTTGACAACGACTTGCTGAAGTACGCTATCACGACCTCTTGATCACCATTCCGTTGAGACAATACACCGCCAAGTCCTATATCACTTGCGTCTGTGTCAACTATAAATTCTTTGCTTGCATCAGGGTATCCCAAAATAGGTGTTTTGCACAGACGATCCTTGAGCTCCTGGAATGCGATATTGTAACCTTCATACCAGCAGAATGTTGCTTCTCCTCGGTGAGCTTGTGCAGAGGTTTTGCTATTCTGCAAAGTTCTTCACAAATCGCCGATAATAGGAGCACAAACCCAAAAATGCTCCAACCTGCGTTTTGTCTTTTGGAACCGGCCAATCCTTGACAGCGGCGATTTTTTCCGTATCCGTGCGGATACCTTCTTCCGACACCACATACCTCAAAAAGTTGACTTGCCGTTGGAATAGTAAACATTTCTTCGAACTCGAGGTTGGCACTCTGAATCTTCATGAGCACGCGTTCCAGGTTTTGAAGGAGTTCCTCAAACGTACGGCCCACGATGATGATCATGATGTCATCCAAGTAGACCAGACAGGCATCGCCAATTATCACGGTAAAGTACGAGCTCCATCAGCCTTTCAAACGTTGCTGGAGTATTGTACAATCCAAACGGCATTACTTTAAATTGCCACAGACCCTTTCCCGTCGAGAACGCAGTTTTCTCCTTGTCCTTAGGGTCAATTTCAACTTGCCAGTAGCCACTTTTTAGATCCAGCGTGCTAAACCACTTTACTCCTGTAAGCATGTCCAGCGTGTCATCAATTCTTGGCAAGGGATACTGTCCTTCTTTGTAACGTCGTTCAGACGGCGGTAGTCAACACAGAACCGCATGCTGCCGTCCTTCTTCTTTACCAGCACCACTGGTGAACACCATGGACTAGATTAAGGTTCAATAACACCATCCTTCACCATTCCCTCAATCATGGTTTCCACTTCCTTTTCACGTGCTACCGGCAATCTTATTGGCAGCTGACGGATAGGCAATTCTTCTCCTGTGTTTATTTTGTATTGAACCAAGACAGTCTTTCCTATGTCAGCTTCGTTTGATGAGAATACATCGGCATACTTGAGCAACAACTTCTTCGCCTTGACCATTTCGTTCGGGGAGAGAACGATGCGACAGTCTTCCAAAAGTGTGGTCACTCTCGTTTGTGCATCCTTACTGGGGGTCCCACTCGATAGATATTGGCACCGACGTAACCAATCCACTTCCTCACAAGTACCAACCAGTGTGTCTTTTTCTATAATATGTTCCTGGTCACAAAGGTTCAACACACGTACTCCTGCGATGTCAGTGGTTCTGACCAAGGTTCGAGCTACTTTCCATGGAAGGTCATTGTTTACCCTTTCCACAAGTACACAAGGGTGAGCTTGCCCAGCGTTTCGAGGAAGACTAACCGGCACCATAGTTTCGGATCTCGGCGGAACAATCTTCTTAATGTACACGTTCCCTGGTAACGCACCTTCCATAAAAAGTTCCTCCTGCCCACATTTCAAAACACCTTGCTTAACGTCGATCTCACAACAATTATTCCTCATAAAGTCTAGGCCCAGGATGTAGTCGTCCATTATATCAGCCACGATGACATTATGCAGGTAGATCATGTTGCCTAACTTCAACTCCATCTCTTTCTCTCCACGGAAGGGTATACGCTGACCGGTGGCTGTTACCAAATTAATGCGTTCTCGGTTGTATGCAGAGTCCCCAAGGAACTGACTTATATTTTGGGAACTAACAACCGTACGAGAGGCTCCAGTATCTATGGTCAGTTTACACGGCATTCCGTTGACTTCGCCCTTGATGATCAGACTGTTTTCATCATGGGTTTGTGAGATCGAGATCCTTGGGACTCTTTTAACATCAGCCAGCACCCGCCCCGCAGTTCTGGCTTTTACTCGTTTCCTTGCTGCTTCTGGGCGATGCTGTTGGCCACACTAGCCTCCTGAGATCGTTCACCTTCCTTTTCTAGTAAGTAAGTGGCCCCTTTCCACACAGCCATAGCACCTAGGGCTGTATCCTTTATTGCGGTCGCAAACTGTAGCTGTCGCAACCTCCCTGACGCGATGGGAACGATGATCCTGCCGCACGGCTTCCACTTCCAGTGCATGGGCCAAGGCGTGCTTAAGCGTCTCGTGGTTCCCGAGACTCACAGCAGCTCTGACTTCAAGGTCGCGGATGCCATCGATGAATGTCTACACCAGGTTCCCTTCAATGAGCGCAGGTACGGACCGGTATGCTTTTCGCACCAGCTTCTCCACCTCTAGAGCCCACTGCTGCAGGTTTTCGTTGATGCGCTGTACGCGATCTTTAAGCTGCACACGAAAGACGTGCTCCAGGTCAGCGTCGCCATATCTCGCCTCCAATGCCTCAAGGAGCTGCTCATAAGTCACTTCCTCACCGAGAGCTTCCAGAACAGTTAAGGCCTGGTCGCGCAGGCCTAGTATGAGAGCAGTCATGGCCTGACTTTTATTCCAGCCGTTCGCCTTCATAACAGCTTCGAATTGGATTTTGTAGGCCGACCAGGAAGAAGTCCCGTCGAACGGTGGCACCTTGAACCCACGTAGCGAAGGTGTTGTAGCTACTACGGGAGCTGTAATTCCATCCCCCAGTTTGAGGTCGTCCAGCGTTTTCTTCACGTCAGTTATCACGTAATCAACCCGATGGTTCACTTGGTAGATTTTGGTTTTAGCTTCTTTGTTTCGGGTTTCAGCTTTCGACAGGCGGTTGTCATGTTGAGCAACCCTATCCTTCACCTCCCTTATCTCTTTCCCGAAGTTAGCGTGAATGTTCTTCACGAGGAGTATCTGCTCTTCCTATCGGCGGGCCTGTTCCTACTGCTGCTCTTTTAAGCAACGGGCCTGTTCCTCTTGTCGGCGAGCCTGTTCCTCCTCTCGGCGAGCCTGCTCCTGCAGCATCACCATCAGAGCACCTAAGTCAGGTGCTGCAGATGTAGGAGCTACTGACGGGCCTGCAGCCGCGGCCCTCCGACGTCTGCGGCGTTGTACCACCAAATCTTGGTCCGTCTCCTGCTGGCGTTGACTTCGGGTACGGACACCCTCCGTTTCCTCCTTAGGTAAAATCGGCATGATTTTATCCCACTTCTGACACCAATTGTTACGAGCTTGAGGTTCGTGACAATAAAAACTGCCGATTGAATTACCAAAATTTACACTTTTATTACCCAAAACCAATTAAAATTAAAAAACACTAATAATTAGTCACACTGATTCACTTTATTTCGCTCCGAAGCTTCGCTTGTGTCGCCAAAATTCAATACTTCCTCGATCGCATGACTTTAAATACACATTATCACCGAAACATCCAGAATATTCAAGTAAATACGGCAATAGTGCCGGATTAAGCTAAAGTCATAGTAGTACTATTGCCTATAGGTCTTGCGGCTAGAGAAAATACTTTATTACGTCTTTTAGTCCCGCCATATATATATACGAAAGTATATGGCCGGCCTTAGAAGTTGTAAAAAGATGAAAAAAGTCACAGTAGTTGCTTTGCCTGGGAGCCTCTACATGGGTAAATCCAAAACCGCCCGCCATGATATCAAACAATGCTTATTTCTATTTAAAATCATACAATTACATTACGAAAAGATGTAGAGACTCGGTATTAGTAATTCAGAGGAGTATGACAAAGAAAACGCGAAATTACTTCCTCGTTGAAAATATATGTTTTCCGTTCGTTGTTTGAAATAACAATTACTTGGTAAAGATAGTTCGTTTTCTCTACTACAATAAACCCAAGGAAAATTTTAGATAACTTATATATTTATTTTGGTAATGATTATTCTCCTGATGCATGTTAAGGCCAAAACTCTAAGAGAAATGATTTGGGAGCCCTAATATGTAGATTCTATTGAATATCGACCATAAAAAAAATATTTTTATCTCACAAATATCCTATACTTTAGTAATGATAAATATATTTTCGTTATATGCCTTTCACGTAAGGAAAAAAATCGACATAATTCAATTATCTACCGAAAAAGCTTCGATACAAGCCCCGGAATCTCCGAAGTTCAACGTCATTTTGACGTAAAATTTATACCAAAATAATCAATATTTGCTTAAACTATACTATGATTTTTACTTTTCAAGTCGTTACTATTGTTACGAGCTTGATATTCGTGACAATAAAAACTGCCGATTGAATTACCAAAATTTACACTTTTTAAAAAACACTAATAATTAATCACACTGATTCACTTTATTTCGCTCCGAAGCTTCGCTTGTGTCGCCAAAATTCAATACTTCTTCGATCGCATCTTGCAGCGCCTTTAAATACACATTATCACCGAAACATCCAGAATATTCAAGTAAATACGCGCGCCAATCGACCAGGCGCCGAAAGTTCGAGTGTAGGGCTTCTAGAAAGCTTAGTTCTTCATTTCGAAACTAGATGGCGCTGTCGGTTGAAAGATTAGTGATGTCATTTTCTGGAAAGCTCTCCTCGCTCTGTTACCCGACACAGATGGCGCTAGTGCCAGACGTCAACTTAGGCGCGCAACACTATTATTTTCAATACGTACGTAAAGAATACGCTAGATGGCACAAACACCGCGTAACGGCTAATTTAATAATTTAATATTTATATTACCATATGAGTTAAAAATATCATTTTGTACGGTTTATTAAAATTGAAAATGAATAATTATATAACAGTCATTATTTTATGGAAAAAAATTGTAATGCTTTATCTTTTCATTTTACCATATCTAATTCCCGTCGTAATCTGTTCCTATATGCATATAACTTAAACAAAATAATTTGATGTTTCACATCTGCCAGGCGTCCCTTTTTTAATTTTGTACATTGTACTTTGTTCATGCTTTTCTTTTTTTCATGAATTGTATTGTATGTACATATATATCTTGTTCTTTCGCTCAAGCAAACCCAAATGGGTTTTTTCAAAGCCACCGAAGGTAAGCAATTGCTGATATGTCATACAATCTATCTATCAATAGTATGCCTTGTGCGTGCTTTGTCAAACACGTCCTTGACAGCATTAAATATGAAACTGAAGAGTGGAGACAGATCAAGATTGGTGTATTTTTATAAAACTGCTAAAAACAACAAAACCATATCTTGGGCTCGCCCTAGTTTGGAGCCCTAGCTTCTCCACTGTATATACGGTACTTATAACAAAAACAATGTTAAATATTTTTGTCTGCTGTTGGTCTGTCGGACTGTCTGTTTGTTCCGGCTAATCTCTGGAAATGGCTGACCGATTTTGACAGGACTTTCACTGGCTAATAGCTGATGTTATAAGCGGTATCTTAAGCTAATTTTATTTTAGAAAAATAATTAGGGTTCGACGCAAGAAAAATCAAAACCCATTCCATGCGAACGAAGTCACGGAGAGCAGCTAGTTTAAAATAGATTTATAACGTTCGTTATTATTTTATACACTAAGGGGACGATAACTTTCATTAATCACCAGTGTAGATTTTTTTAATGTTGTCAGAATATCATACAAGCTTTCAGATATAATATTTTTTACGGTTTTTATTATATGTGATTTTAATTTCTTACTCGTATATTTTAAGACATTTTATATACCTATTAGCTGATACCTTTTTTTATGGGACTATCATAAAATCCGTTCTTAGTGAACATTGCGAAATAAGTAACTATACTAAATTTCAAATCAATCTGGTGTATAGTTTTAGAAATATCATGATCAGTCAGTCAGTCAGTGGTGTATATATATATATATATGTGTGTGTGTGTGTGTGTGTGTGTATAAATATATATTTAAATATTTAATTTCCTTATAATTTTTGACTAAGGTAGTTTCTTAACTTTTTAAGATATATTAAATTTTTAGTAGTGAATTGGTCTCGATTTTAAAATGAAATATTTTTAATAGTGTGAACTATTTCTGTAGTAAATATTACCTCTACAAAACTCTTGGGTGACGCTATCACATGTTCAACAGAGTATAAGCAACGGTCACTATATTTTGCAGAAAGCATATCCCGGGGTTTCAGATGTCCAGGAAAAAGGGTCATAGTTCGCCTTGGATTCTTTGGGTTAGGCTTTGTGGCACCGTCTGCCGATATGATGAAGCCGGTGAATCTGGACTCGCCATCTGTAGCAGCTATTTGTACTGAAATAAAAATTTGCAGTAGAACTATGAATATCATGAATATGCAGCTCTTGATTTTCGATGATTGAAAACTTCAAAATAATCTTAAAGCATCATTGTTTAATGGGCTTTAGCAAATTGATTTTCTACCATCGCTTACGCCAAAAAACTTATAAAAATTAAATGGGTATGGGAATGATATATCTCAACGTATTATGTGACGAAGTCCAATCATGTTTCGCCTCTCTCTCAATCCTCTCAGTACATTACAAGAGGGCTCCGCGAGGGGATTTCAGCTTCAGAAGAGAGGGACAAAAGTGAAATTTTCTACATGAATACTGTTCACTCCCATCCTATGGAATTGATAAACATCATATGTAATTGTGCAATTCTATTTGAATGGAGCTGGAGTCGGATAAGTGGCGCGATACTCCATGTTGAACGGAGTTAGGTCGCTAGCACCAAGGGCTTGTCTTTGCCCGTCAACATGAGAACACTTTCTGAGACTGAAAAGTGACTGTCACACAAAGTTGAGACCATTAATTTCAAAACTTCTAAAATTAAAGATCATCTTCGCGAAAAACGTCTAAGAGAGTATAGCCACGTGGAGAGAAAGCGAGACCCTTTTTCTTTCGTCGTCGTGTTCTTGGTAAAGTTCAGTGTGTAAAGTACTCTAAATTACAGTGGTTACAGAATTTAAACATAGAAAAAATTAAACAACTAATGCCAATCTCCTGAATCAATTTCAATTTTCATAAACATATTTTAATAGTTTGCCTATAATGTTCATTAATTACCTGTATATAATTGTTCAGGCATATATGTGTTTTCAGCGCCAACCACAGACAATTTAAATCGCCCATCAGCTGCTGATGCTTTCGTTGTAGATCCATATGGTCTTCTGTCGCAACGGAAGGCGAGTATTCCGATCTCCAGTGTTAGGAATAATCCAAAAATAATCAGTTTCATTATATGAAGCTAAAAATATAAAAACACAATCGCTATACAACCTCGATTCTAAATGCCTTTTTATGGACCATTGGACCAGCCCTTGGGGAAGGCCTGTTAAAACGTTCGATTTCAATGTAAAACGCAGGCTTTCCCCAAGGGATGCCACAACCAGAGATGCAGGAAGTTGATGGATGTAAGTGGATTTCTTACCAGGTCGTCACTTCATCAAGTAGGAAGCCACTCGAGAACCTTTCTTGCGAAACACATTAATTAATGATTTTTAATTTTTAATTATTTTTCTTGTAAGTAGTTAATTAAAAATATTTTATTATTATTTAGAATTACTATAGTATTCTCGTCGTCAGGTGGGAAAAATACTTTTAAAATATAGATCTATACAAATAAATAGAATTGACGTCATCATCATTCATCATTACAGCCCTTCACTTAACATAGGCCTCCCCCAAGGAATGCCACAAAGCACGGTCCTGAGCCACCTGCATCCATCGACTTCCTGCATGTCTTACCAGGTCGTCACTCCATCTAGTGGGGGGACGCCCTACATTTCGGCTGCCGGTCGAGAACCTTTTCGAGAATTGATGTGTCTGTTTGAAATATCAAAATAACCGCTTTTTACTAAATGCATATAAAAGTGTATACGGTACTTATTAAAAAAACCACAATTTTTAAAATTTTTGTTTGTCTGCTTGTTCCGGCTAAAAACTTTCACTGACAGATAGCTGATGTTATAAGGAATAACTTAGGCTGCTTTTATTTCAGAAAAAGAATTAGCTTCCGCGCAAAAAAAAATTAAAATCTTAAATTACACGCGGGCGAAGTCGTGGGGAACAGCTAGTTATGATATATAAACTACTATAAACATAAATTATTAGCATAAATATATATTAATTTATATAGTATTTTTAATATATACTAAAAATACTCTATAAAATAAAATACCATTGAGAAAATTAATAAAACCCCACCATATGGAGGCCTTCGGCAAGGGAAACCAAACGAGGGTTAGGGAGAAAGGGAAAGAAACTGAAGGACGATTCAGGACGGTATCGAGGAGCACTGCATTTGAGTCCAGAGCAGTCCGTCACCGACCCCAAGTTACCTCAGATAATCCTCGCCTGATCTCTCTCCGGTCGTGTCGGTTTGCCGTCTCATCGAACTATGAGATTGAGGGAATAAAGAGTGCACCGGTGCTTGCGCATACAATATAATCCTGTCCTGCGCAGATGGCTAGTCTCAGTCGATGCTGGCCGTCGTAACCGAAATTCGGTTTGGAGGACATTCTTTTTAATTATTAATAAAAATTTATACGGAAAAGAACCCCAGAACATACACAAACTGTTGGCAAATAGGGGTAAAGGTTTCATAATTTTGCGCTAACACTACACATTGGATTAAACTATATTTACAGATTTTATCGCGTTTAATAACTTATTTTAACTTATTTTTAATTCGCGACGTATCGGTCGCTATACAGCACCCGTGGTCACGGGGGGGGCCTGAGATATTTGACGTCCCAATGTAATATTTAGTCCGGCTACCTTCAGTTTTTGAATATAAATTTTTGGTCCGATCTACGCAGAATGAGCTTACATCTTGTTTAAGTCTTGCAGTGGTATGCTTGGGTTTGGGTTTAATTTTGTTAATTATAAGATCCCAAGCAGATGGCAGCACCCATTCATCTCCTCTATTGAAATTAGGATGTTTTTTTTATTTCAATAGCCTCGCATATAATCCTTGGTGGAAATCGGTGTTCTTTGCGAGGGTTTGTGATTTAGCATCATCATCATCATCATTACAGCCCTTCACAAGTCCACTGCTGAACATAGGCCTCCCCCAAGGTATGCCACAAAGCACGGTCCTGAGCCACCTGCATTCATCGACTTCCGGCATGTCTTACCAGGTCGTCACTCCATTTAGTAGGGGGTCGCCCTACACTTCGCCTACCGGTACGAGGCTGCCACTCGAGAACCCTTCTTCCCCAACGGTTGTCGGTTCTTCGAGCTATATGGCCGGCCCATTGCCACTTCTGCTTACTAATCCGTTGGGCTATGTCGGTCACTCTAGTTCTACTGCGGATATCCTCATTTCTAAGTTTATCACGCAGAGAAACTCCGAGCATAGCCCTCTCCATAGCTCGCTGAGCGACTTTGAGCGTCCTCATACGGCCAGCAGTGAAGGATCACGTCTGGGTTCCGTAAGTCATCACTGGCACCACGCACTGGTTGTACAACTTAGTTTTCAGGTTTTGAGGTATACCTGACGAGAAGATCTGTCGTAATTTCCCGAACGCTGCCCAGCCGAGTTGAATCCGTCGATTGACCTCTCGGTTGAAGTTGGACTTACCTAGTCGGACTATTTGTCCCAGGTAAACGTACTTGTCAACAACTTAAAGCTTAGTGCTCCCAACAACTACCGGCATAGGTGTGACATGGACATTAAACATGATCTTTGTTTTGTCCATGTTCAGCTTAAGACCTATCCGTTGGGAGGCACTATTGAGGTCATTGAGCATAGTGCTTAAGTCCTCCAGCGATTCTGCCGTAAGGACTATATCGTCGGCAAATCGAAGGTGAGTGATGTACTCGTCATTGATGTTAATACCGTACCCTTTCCAGTCCAGTAGCTTGAAAACGTCTTCCAATGCAGCGGTGAAGAGTTTCGGGGAAATAACGTCACCTTGTCTTACATTTCTCTGAAGTTCGATAAGTTTCGATTCTGTACTCGGATAGCCATCGTAGCCCTACTGTACAAACACTTCAGCACTTCGATATACCGACAGTCAACTTGGCACCGCTGTATAGATTGTAACACCGCCCAAATTTCGACGGAATCAAAGGCTTTCTCATAATCCACATACGCCAGGCAAAGTGGCAGATTATACTCTTCGGACTTCTGTACAAGAAGGGTATGTATGTGGTCTATGGTACTAAAGCCTTTTCGGAAACCGGCTTGTTCGGGAGGCTGGAAGTCGTCGAGTCTGCGTGCGAGACGATTTGTAATGACTCTCGAAAACAGCACGTAGACGCGGCTCAGAAGGGATATCTGTCTGTAGTTCTTCAAGAGTACGTTGTCACCTTTCTTGAAGAACAAGACCACCGCACTTCTGCTCCACGCCTCCGGAGTAGTGCCACCATGGAGGACGGAATTAAAGAGCCTCTGAAGGACTTCAAGTACCGGTTTTCCAACCGCTTTCAGAAGCTCCGCTGTATTTCCATCCTCGTCCGAGGACTTGCCGTTTTTAAGGTGCTGGAGAGCCATTCTAATCTCGCTCAGACTGACATCCGGGATATCATCGGAATAGTGTCGGATAAGACTTGCTCTTGGATCGTTACTCACACTTGCGTGTAGCTCCAACGATGATCTGTACAGCTGCCCATAGAACCTCTCAATCTCACTCAGAACCTCAGGTGTCCCGGAAACGATGCTACCACACTCAGTCTTCAGCTTTGACAGTAGGCACTTACTGGCAGACAGATCTCTGGCAAAGACTTTGGAGCCATGGTTCCGCTCGATCGCTTCTTCAATACGAGCAGTATTGAAGTTGCGCAAGTCTCGCCGCATGCATCTGCAGTGGTTTATCAAATCTAATGCAATAGTGGAGACGCACTTGAACATGTTCTCAGGGAAGTTTGCAGTCTGTAAGTTAATAAACGCGATAAAATCCGTAAATGTAGTTTTATTCAAAAAGAGATAAAATTTTAACTGGGCTATAAAGCTGGAATGGTATATTTGTTAGGATACGGGGCTATTGAGGAGAGACTCTGGACATCTGCTGTAATCGCGTCTTAATGGATATTATTGTTATTGGGATATTTAATAAGTATTCTCCTCGGGTTGGGCTGTAAAATATATAATATCAAAAATGATAAATAATGTAAAATAAAATATTATTACTATAATTAATGTTGTTATAGTCTGGGCAAGTTACAAGGTTATAAACACACTTTAGTACCGAGTTAAATACGAATATAAAAATAAAATTGAAGAAAAAAAATTACGTTCTTTGTGAACTGTGATGGACTTGGACGTGATATTTCTAAACCCTTAGGCGTGATACTGTAAGTTTTTCTATTTATTGCAATCAAGAAGCTAACTGGAACATGACAATAAATTAAAAGGTATCTCGTTGCCGTCCCAATTAATTACTTGATAGACTAGACCTTAGGTCTTATAGTGAATTAATGTCTCATATATCGAGGTTATAGTAAATGAACAATGACTATGGTTATTATTACTTAAACTACTTTGCGTGGTCGAAATAAACGTTAGTTTTGTAATTATAACAGCGTATGTGAATTTTAAGGAAAAAACTAAAGTTAAGGTTACAATTGTTTTCTTCCACAAATTATTTTAAAAAAATCTTTATTTTATACTCGAAGAAAACTGTAAATTTTAGATACATGTAATCTATAATTTATATTTATTAATAAAACATTGAAATGGTTTCCGGTTGTTTGTTTGGATACGCATCACATTAAAACTACTGACCTATTTTCTATAGACTTATTTAACGTAATACGTATAACTAAACCCTATTTATGACTAATAGCACTACAACAACCATTGTGACAGAAAACTTAAGAAAAGAAAAACATAAGCCTCCTTTTTACTCTTTCGTAAGCGGATAAAAGTTGCCCAAATGTTATACGCCACCATTTGCTGCCTACACACCAAATTTCATAGAAATTCGTCCGTTTTTGCGTAAATTGTAAATGAATAATTTTTCTACAGATTTATTATATGTACCTATATATTAAAGTCGTTTTATCAAAATCTGCTCCCATAATGCGATTCAAGGCTTTAAAATATTGCCGAATGACTTGGCTGTGCACCCTTTCCCTTTCAGAAGAAATATCATGAAAGTTTAGTAGAAGAGATGAATGTGAGAATAATCTGTGTGGTATATTACACCCTATGTGGGACTTTATTTCTATACACTACTTCTTGGCACCGACTAATCATATACCAGGGCTATTATGTGGAAATTATTTTAGTTCTTTTAAGTCATTTTATACCTAATAACTACTTATATTGAACCGACTTCAAAATAAGGAAGAGATTCTCAATTCTTGAAAAATATTTTTTTATATTTGTGTTACCTCAGAACTATTCTCTAGATGAACCAATTTTGATGATTCTTTTTCTACTTGAAAGTTGATATTTTTCTTGTGGTCCCGTATAAATTTGATCAAGATCTTACCACTATTTTGTGAATTATCCTTACTAATGATTATTTAATTGACTCCGACTACGTTGATGATGTTCTCATTTTATTTATATTGAAGTCGGTTGTACAAAATTTTAATTTTACCACTTGGTATCCACACGAATACTACACATAGAATAAATAAAACTAATTTTATGGATTTTATCACTTCTAACTTAACACATTTTTGCTTATTTAATTATCCGACGTTTCGGATGCTTTAAAGCACCCATGGTCACTGAGGGACAGAGGTGTTTGAAGTTCCGATGCTCCACCAGATGTAATAGTGTTCTGTGTCTCGATAACATAGAGCTATAACTGAAATACAAAACAGCCTGAATTATTGGTTCTCTCATCCTTGAAAAGGAATATTCCATTACAGCCGTGTACCGACCGTGTAAAAACCGACGCTGAACATAGGCGTCCCCTTCATTAGGGGGGGATTTCCTCATAGTTGCATGCTCGGCAGCCGCAGTTTTTTAAATTATTTTGAGTTGTTATCAGGAAGACACTGTCTATCTTCTGTTTCAGTTTTCCCCTTTGTCGCCTCTTACGACACCCACGACACGGCAATTATTAATTAATGGGTAGGTACCCACTTTAATAATTGTAATTATTTTAGTACATGATCGGGATATAAGAAAATTAAGTAAAATCCATCTCATTTTACGAGCCCTTTTATACCGCCCAACAATATTCACTAAATTTATAATATGTATTTTAAATTTCGATCTAACGCTTAAAACTAAATACATCTGGGACTACAGAACAAGATGAAAAAGTGTCCAGTTGTAAGCTGTAAATAATAGTTAAAAAACCATCCATAATGGGACTAGCGTAGATATAGGGCATGGTGTGAATGTAGCAGATGGATTGGAGTGTGCCAAATTTAAAAACTACTACTATTATTGGCATTAAAAATACTAATTTTTTAACAGATACCAAGCCCCCCCCCCCGCCACGAAAAGGAGGGAACGTTCGGGGGGAGTCCTCCTTACCTGTACCTTCCTTAGTTATAGTCAGGGCTGCCAAATTGTATAATTACTACGGAGAGTAGGGGTGAGGAGGACTATCTCATATGGGATAAAAAAGTGTCTAGCTGTAAGCAAATAATAGTTCAAAAACCTACCAGAATGGCGGAAGCTTAGACATAGGATATGGTATGTGGTTGCGCGGAAAAAGAAACGGTTACACTCTTGTTTTGTTCGGTTGGTTATTGTTTGCCAGTGTCTCTTTTTTTCTATTAGCATTCTATTCCTCACACACTGAAGGGGGGAGTGGCGCAATTTTTCTCGTCTATGAGAAGCGCGCCCCAGCGAGATAGAAGTGGTAGAAGTGGTCAACCAATATAAGGAAGCCCACTGCCGCCGCTCGCCCCTTTTTGCATCGTAGTTGAAGAAAACCGCTAGTTGTGTCCGCACCTCTGTGGCAGTTGCGCCACAGAACAATCGAGAAGTAACCGCCTCGCATAGTGCGAGTTATCGTCATGCACCGCTCTTCCAACGCACCATAAGACCAGGAACGTCGTCCACGAGACCGCAAGGAACCCCACCCCGGTAAGTGCTTCCTTTTAATTTGACTTGAACCGTTTTATTTCCTTGTCATATTTCTCTCCCTTAGCGGTTCAAGTTTATTATTATTATGGGATATCTATATAGTTTTCTCATCTGGTTGGGTTCTATAAATATATAATTATAAATGAAAATGAAAAAATAAATATACATAAATATCAATAACATAAAATAAATATAAAAGTACATAAATAAATAAAAGCCCAACCAGATGGAGGCCCTCGGCAGGGGAGACCAAACGGCCGAGGGTTAGGGGGAAAGGGAAAGAAACCGGCGGACGATGCGGGCGGTATCGAGGAGCACCGCCTTCTGCATTTGAACCTGGAGCGGTCCGCCACGTAGTCCCAGCCGCCTCAGATGACCCGACAGGCTGACTGGGATTAGCCCGTTTGCAGAGACGACTACAGGAATAATTTCGGTCGGCAGACCACCCCACATGTCGGTCACATCGTGAGCCAGGTCCAGATATTTTGTTTGCTTGTCTGTTTCGGCTTTCACGAGGTTCTCGTCATACGGAATGGTAATGTCGACCAAAAATATCCTTGACTGTGCCCGGTCCATCAGCACAATATCAGGCTTATTCGCAAGAATAGTCCTGTCTGTGATGATGGCCCGGTCCCAATAGAGCCTGGCGCGATCATTTTCGAGCACGGCTTCCGGCAAGTACTTGTAGTACGGCAATTTCCGGTCCACGAGACCGTATTTCAGAGCGAGCTCCTGGTGTAGAATTCTGGCTACTAGGTTGTGCCTGTGCAAGTACTCAGAGTTAGAAAGCGCCGAACAACCGGAGATAACATGCCTAAGTGACTCACCGGGATGGCGACAAGCTCGACAGATGTCGACGGTGCCATCCTTTAGGATGTATCTCCGATAGTTGTTGGTCTTAATAACCTGATCCTGTATTGCACAGACAAAACCCTCGGTTTCCCCCGAAGAGATCACCAAAGCGTAGCCAGTGGAGGGAGGCTACTGTGTCTACGAAAGGCTCATGTAGAGCCTTGTAGAACCTCCTTCTCCTTCCATACGGTCTCTCGGTCGGAAATGCTCTGCACTGCCGGGTCTTGCCATTGCTCGTTGGCTAAGGATAGAGGGTAAGTCCTTTATCACAAGAAATGACGTCCTTATAGAATGGATCATCCGATCTCGCCAGGAAGTAATCACGGAGGCTGCACACTTCGCGATTATGCATGGTGAGCGCGCTCAAGAAGCCACGAACACCATGCTTCCGCGACAAGTACAACCTCATTACCGACGATCTCGGATGATGCATCCTATGGGACGTCATGGTAGTGCGGACTTTTCTATCCAGGGCGTTAAGTTCAGTCTGAGTCCACCTGAGTATGCCAAAGGTATACATGAGGACAGGCATGACCCAGCCGTTATATGCGTGTGTCTTATTCACACCGGACAAAAGGCTGTTAAGCACTTTGGTCAAGCGTGCATAAAACACGTCGCAAACTGACTGTTTCATACCAGTCTCATCGATACCGATGTTTTGTGACATACCCAGGTATCGGTATGTTTCAGCCTCGGAAAGGGTCCTTAAGTTGACGGGCATAGATAAGTCTACGCCCTCAGAGTTAGCAACCCTTCCCCTTTCAACATGGAGGAACGCACACTTATCCGTCCCAAGCTCCATTCCAATGGAATTGCTAAATTCACAAGTGATGTTTAGCAATTCCATAAGATGGGAGCGACTGGAGGCGAATAACTTGAGGTCATCCATATAGAAAAGGTGGGTCACTTTTGTCCCTCCTCTCCGTAGCTGAAATCCCCTCCCGGAGCCCTCCAGTAAGGTACTGAGAGGGTTCAGAGAGAGGCAGAACCAGATTGGACTCAGACAATCGCCCTGGAAGATACCCCTTCTTATCCTTATGTGGTTCTCCGCAGCCATCATCCGCTCGCCCAGATGACAAAGGATCGTACTCCACTGCCCCATACATTGCTCGAGGAAGTCTCTAACTGTACAGTCTATCTTGTACAGCTCGAGGACTCTCTTTAGCCATGTATGGGGCACCGAGTCGAATGCCTTTCTGTAGTCTATCCAGGCGGCGGAGAAGTTCCGACGGTTGCGTTTCACCACTTTGCCAATGACCGCGTCAATGAGGAGTGGTTCCTTGGTTCCACGACCACCGCCCCGACATCCATTTTGAGCGCGCGACATCACCTGATTTGAGTCCAGGTGACAAGTGATTCTCGCGCTCAAAATGGATGTTAGTGTCTTGTATATGGTCGGTAGACACGTGATGGGGCGGTATTTGCTCGGGTCTGTGGTACCCTGGTCTTTAGGAACCAAATGAGTGATCCCAGTAGTGAAGAGGCTTGGGAGCGACTTCTGGTTGAGAGCCTCTTGAAACTGTCGGGCAAGCACACAGTGACACACCATGAACCCCTTCAGCCAGTAGTGATGCAGCCCGTCAAGCCCCGGACTTTTCCAGTTCGGGGCCCTACGGACCGCCTCAGCTACGTCATCCGGCGTTATGATGACGGGGTCCATGGGCGTAATACCCGCACACTGACTCGCCACAACTTCCGTCCAAGGGCCCTCGCTGTGGTTTACGGGCTCTGACCACAGGCCGCGCCAGAATGCTACAGTGTCGGCCTGATTCGGTGCTCGACCCGTTCCACTTACCATTGGTCGCTCCAATGATTCATAGAGCCTCTTCTGATTACTCTGGAAGAGACGATTCTGGTTGAACCGTGTCGACCTCTCGGTATATCGCCGAATCCGCTTTCCCCAAGCAGCGATTCTCTGCTTCAGATCATCTATGCGCTCCGTCAGTTTTTGCGTTATATCCGGCTGGGACAAACTGACATTTGTCCCAGCAAACGCCATCCTGACGGTGCGCACAATTCTTGGCCTGTTGTTGCCTGATCTGAAGCATATCAGTCTGCCGGTGAGAGCTCTAGCCTTTGCGATACGTTCCTCAATTCTTCTTCTCCATGCTGGGATAGCGCTACTGTGGCCAGTAGCGCGTCCAGCCGTGGAAACCTTGGCGCCTATGATACGGCAGACTGCCAGCGCGGCGCCAAAAAAATTGAGTCCGTCTCGCAAAGGTCCCGGCTGGCTTCCAAATAGGTCACCAGCATTGGGTTCAGAGCCCTCACGACAGCCCGATTCCGCTTGCTTAGGGCTATGCGGGGAAGTCGCGGTCGATTTTCGAGAGGCGTACTGCGCGTTTCCACAATTGCCTCTTCCAATGTACTCCTCATATGCTCTAATTCCAGTTCCTGGGCGACTGTTCCATCATCGTTTGAATCAACCACAACTGGCGTATTCACGGCGGCATCCACGTTTGCGGGTTGCTCTACCATTTGTCGCGCCGCATCCTCAACCGTAGCATTCTCATCCGACGAGGGAACAGCCTCACGTCGTAGCCGTTCGAGTTCGGCGACATCAAATATATTTGAGCGCAAGATATACCGAACTCGGTCTGCCAGGTTTTGCTCTGTGACGGTTAAAGATGGCTCCAGCTCAGCAAAAAGACGATGCATCCTAGCCCGATACGCCAAACATCCAGTTTCTCCCCCTTTCGCCCTAAAATACGCCCGCAATGCGTTGCTGTTCATCTGGGTTGTCCAACGCATGCGGCGTACTCCACCAGAGGCGGGTGCCGATTGCTGGGCCCGCGAAGACCCTGCCGACACCAAGCCAGCTGGTGGGGATGATGGATGCGAGGGGCTGCTGGGTGGTCGTGCAGCACCTCGCGCTCGGCTGGCGGTTCGCATGCTGCCGCGTCCAGCGCCAGCTCCAGACGCGCCCTGGCGACCTCCAGGCAGCGGCCCTTTGCGCGTTCTTCCGTATTCCATCATCCATAGTGGTGGGCGTCATTTAGCGGGAGCCGCCCAGACCCCGCGCCGTTTCATGGTGAGGCCATGTGCACAAGCGGGCCTTTGCACCTTCAATTTTTGCCGAGGCACGGCACTAACACCTCTTGGCAAGGTGCTGACTGACTGCGCTGACGTAGCGGTTTTGTCACATAACCGTTACGTCAGCGGGCGATGGGGTCGTCACTTCCCTACGCCTTTTTATTATTATTATTATTTATTTACCATTTTACAAATCATTAAAAGAAAGAAAAAAAAAACTATGCTAAAAAGTCGCATACAAAAAACCACTAAGGTTTGTGCTGACGCGACCTGAGTCGACATTATATTAAAGTATAATTAATAATTAAATACGTTTGTAAGAAAAGAAAAAAAGAAAGCATTTACAGCCTAATAGGACCTGAGCAGACGCATAAGCGCTGTTTTAAGTAGTACCATTATAAGTTATTCAAAAAGTACAATTTAAGTTTTTTTTTAATGTTTTTTATATTTAATTTGTAGCGGAATTCTGGGGGTAGGTTGTTTATAAGTCTTGGAACAATGTAACCTGCCGTTCGTTCCCCGTACATGTTGTTTGCACGACTCGTCTGCAGCTTGCAGCTGTTTTCGGCGCACGTACACACGGGGTGCTTGATTTCTAATATTAAGTCTTCATTAAAAAGTGTTTTTAGTAGTAAATATTTGACTTGCGTACGAACTGGTAATATATTACAGTGCTTGAAGAGCATACTATCATCATTATGAAATTGACGTCGAATTTTGTCTGTTACAATGTTTTTAAGGATTCTTATCTGGAGGTTATATATTTAGTTTAAATAAGTATTATATGTACGACCATAGCTACCTAAACCATACTGTATATACGATTATGCTAGAGAGTTATATAACATCATCTTAACTGGGAACGGAATTCTGTTCTTCAGTATTATAATGTTAGCTAAGAATTGTCTTAATTTGCTACAAACATACTTGATGTGGTTATGCCAAGTAAACTTACTATAGATCTGCATTCCGAGATATGTCTGGGTATTGACGAGATCTATAGAGGGGCAACTACATGTGTTTTTGCAAGAAGAGTGAAGGCAACTATGATTGTGAGCAACTATGTACTTGGATAAAGTACACTTGATATAAGGAGACTTTATGTGTAACAGCTTGGTTTTGGTGGAGTTCACAACCAATCCGGCGTCATGACACCATTTTGCAAACATATTAAAGTCAGACTGTAACAATTCACATACTATATCAGGGTCTTTATCGGCGACTAGCAAACATGTGTCATCTGCAAATTGGTAGCATGAACAGTGATTTATGTAAAAGCGCATGTCGTTTACATATGACAGAAGTCACCGGGTCGCTGTGTGTGTCATTTATTCTCACATAGAATTTCCTACTTTTAAGATAATTTGTACACAATCTCAGAAGAGGTCCCCGTAGTCCACAATCGTCCAACTTAGTGATAATTTGTTTATGATCAAGAGTATCGAATGCCCGTGAAAAGTCTATAAATAGGACGAGTACATGTTTTTTGTTATTAAGATACTCGTTAATTTCATCTGTTAACTTCATCAAGAGATCATTTGTACCCTTCCCAGCTTGAAAACCATACTGATTTTGATATATTACATCGTGCGTATTGTAGAATTTATAAATTTGTTTACACACATACTTTTCTACTATTTTATCTATTGAAGATAATAAAGTGATTGGTCGATAGTTCAGGAAATCATCCCGTCTTCCTTTCTTGTATATTGGTCTAACACATCCTATCTTTAGTTCATCGGGATAAATGCCAGTTTCAACACTTGTATTGATTAGGTTGGCAATGGCCGTGGCCCCTTCTGTGTCCATACATTTTATATCAGAAACCCCAATATTATCATAGCCTGGTGCCTTATTAGAGCTAAGTTTTTTGATTATTTTATCAACCTTGTCACGGGTTGCTTTTTGAAAGTATATACTAGAATTATTTGGCCGAGAATACTTACTGGGATTTAACAAATTCAAATTACAGGTTTGGATTATGTTTTTCACAGCTTTATCAAATCCTATAGCAAAGTTATTTACAATATCTTTGATCGTCTGCCCTTTAAATGCTTTTAAAACTGCCGCATCCACTGACGATGTTACACGCCCAAGCATTTTGTTGATTATTTGATAAACTTTTCTTCTATTTTTGAAATTCTGTTGAATGTTTTTAATATAGTATCTATTTCGTTTATTCTCTAATACTTTATGAACTTTATTTCTTATTGTATTGTATTCTAATCTTAATTTTGAATCGAGTGGATTTCGTTTCCAAGAACGGAACAGTTTGTTACGTTTTTCGCATAATCGATTGACGTTATCATCGATCCATGGTAGTTTATATTGATTATTAATATTATGTTTGTTAACCTTATGTTTAATAATACTTGTAGCTGCTTTTTTTGCACTTTGAAAAGATCGTTTAATGAAGTTAAAGATCTCAACAGGTGATTTCGTAGAGTTTCTTTGAAGCCATTTAACATTTTTTAATTCTTTGTAAATTATATCATAATCAATGACTTGTTTAAAAACCTCCCGTGTGTCAACACTAACTGAATCGCCCATGCAAGCGAGCATGATTGCTCGGTGATCTGCCAGTGTAATGTCTAACGCCGCGGCGTACGGATTAAATGTGGGGAGACGTGCAAATATGTGGTCAATGCAGGACTTTGTGATAAGATTTAGTTTTTTTTCTATCCTAGTGTAGTCAGATATTCCACACATTAATCCATACTCGCTGAGCATTTCTAGGTATAAGTCTTTAAGTGATGAGGCACTTTTCAGGTCAATATTTGTATCACCTATCTAGATTAGATTTCTTTTTTCGTTAAACGTGGACATGCATTTGCTCAACTCCTTTACAAAAATATACCTATTTGTTTTTGGCGGTCTATATACTGCACACAAAACTATATCTTGATTTGAGTTAAGTTTTATAGTACCTATTATGTTTTCAAATGTTTTGCTTTGTTGTTGTATTAAGGTGAATGTAAGGTGATTTTTAATGTATATAATAATGCCACCCCCTGTAGTAGTGTGTACATGTTATAGCCCGTCAAGTTATATAAATTTACAATATTATTGGAAATACCAGCCTCTGTTACGACTATTATGTCTACAGGAAACGTGCAGTTATGAATGACTTGTTGTAATTTCGTAAAGTTTTTTATCATAGATCTTATATTAACGTGCAAACAAGAAATATTTAAATGACAGTTGCTAAGTAGCTGTTTGAAAAACGAGTTTGTTGAAGTACAATTTGTTAATTGATTTATTTGTTCTGACATTCTTTCAAACACATTTCACATTTCATTCAATTTGTGACACAGACATTCAAAGCTGTGATTTGGAGTGGAAACTCCTTCGAGACACTGGTAAAACAATAGATTTTGGAATACCGAGTGCATCGTCCAAGGTTGCCGCGTGCCATCTTGTTTTGGTTACAAGACCCCGCACATACAGCCCAGCGAATTAATCGAGCACAACAAGCAAAAGGCTTGACCCAGGAATCGAACCCGAGGCCCCAATCGCCGAAAACATTTCTGGTCATTAGCGTGCCGCCAGTATAAATGTAGTAGTTGTAGATGTATTGAATTGTACCGAGTTAAAAAAATATTTTTGGTGACTAGAGTAGTTAATTACAGTACAGTTTACAAAATTTCAACTATTCACGTAGTCCAATTTTTTTAATATAACCTAAAATAACTGCTGTGGGAAAACGGAGTGATTTTATTTTTGTAAACTTTAAATACGTTTAGTAATTTTTTAATGTGAACTGTTTTAAAACTTTTTAAAATAGTTCAAATATTTTTTATATAAAAATGTTTAGTAGTCCTGCTTACCCTAATAATTACATTCAAATTGTCTATATTAGATAATTATCTTAATTCATTATTTTATACAACCTGTTTGTACAGAAGATTTCTTTGTATAATTGGATACTAAAATAAAAGTACAAATGTAAATATTATTTTGCGAGAATTAAAATCCCTAAACTCTTAATAAGTATTATTTATTATCTTTCTACACACGAACAGAGTATATTATACAACTGAAAGGCTCTGTATCTCTAGCCAATAGCCACTTGTAATGTATAAAAAAACAGTATTATCAATGTCATTTATATCATCTTGCATCTGGAAAAACGCGGGAACCTTGAAACGTGATAGGCGCCTTTTTTTAAATTAAAATTTTAATTTTGTTTTGTTTAGTTAAAAGGCACTAAACTTTTATTGTTTTATCGTTACTGGGTTTCCTCATCATGGGGAAACGTAGAAAAAAAGTTGCCGGGAGAAGAAGTCTTTGAAGAAACGACAGAGGAGGAAGAAGTTGACACCAGTACTGAGGAAGATTCTGAGAAAGAGCAGCGCAAATATAAGCTGTACTTTGTATCTGACTACCACAGGAGGTAGCCTGAGGACTCTGTTCTCGTTGATTTTGTTGTTTTTGTCGAATCAAATGACGAAAGCAGGGTAATCGTCATGCAGGACATGATGTCTCTGTCCACACATATGAAGAGGTTCAATAAAGGCATTAAATATCTGCAATCTATGAATAAATACAAAATGGGCGTTCAGTTTAAAAGCCCTCTCTAGCGAATGCATTTTTAAATAATGTTAAATTTCTTAATGAATACAAAATGAGGGCATCTATCCTAGCAATAGGGACAGAAATAACAGGAGTCATAATTAATGTACCCACTAATATTTCTAATTCAAGAATTTTTGGTATCTTAACGACTTACAGGAAGATAATATGTGTAAAAAGGATAATGAGGAAACATAAGAATAACGCAGGATGCAATTTGATGCAGCTGACGGGCACCGTGGCCATCACAGTTCAGTTTTGCCGGACCACGTCGATCTCCATGGTTGGCGGTTCGTGGTAAATCAGTATATTCCACCAGTGAAGCAGTGCTACAACCGTCTGAGTTTTTCTCTAAAATTCTGTGAAATGCTAAATTTGTATTGAAAATCACAACTACAAAGATTGCCAAGTCTCTTCAGATAAAGCGATATGCATACATTGCAAAGGAAACCATCTAAACATTTCTGGACAGTGTGCTGTCAAGAAACAAAAGATAAAAGAAAATCAGGCTAAATTACACAAAACCCGTTTGTAACCTTTTTAATAAAAACGATTTCCCCGAATTAAAAAAAAACCCTAAAGATGCTCTTATGTCACTACTAAAGAATGATGATATTATTAATATAATTTTAAATAGTCATTAAAATAACTTAATAAATCAAATGAACAAACCACCACCACTTCTCAGCTTATTAAAGATGTTCTCATAGATACAATGAAACCAAAATAGATATTTTATTATATAGCATTTAATATTTATGGATTAGTTTAAAATTTTACAATGGAATGCATGATTGAAGTTTAATTAAAAATCGCTTTAAATTTACTCAATTTTTACATGAGAACACTATAGATGTTGCTCTTATATGTGAAACTTGGCTTAAACCTAGGCACAATTTTTAGAGTAAAAGGTTATAATAGTATACGATTAGATTCAGGTAATGATCATAATGGAGTAGCAATACATCTACATAACAAAATTAGATTTCGTGTTATCAATACATTCTCTGATTCTCTCATTACAAAATATAGCTGTACAAATACAATATAATGATAAATTGTTAACTTTGTAGTTAGTGTCTACCGTCCCCCTAATTCACCAATTAATAATAATAAAAATAGATAATTTAATCCAAAGTTTGCCACAGCCAGTCGTTATAGCTGGTGATTTCAACGCCCATCACACGTTAGGGGGATGTACTGAATCGGATTCACGGGGTAGGGATGTTCTTGCAAGTAAAAATGACAACAATCTTGTAATTTTGAATGATGATCAGATGACTACAGTAGGATCTCACAGATGGAGGCAGAATGCATTAGACTTGACACTTGTTTCATCTTCACTGGCTCTGTCTTGTGAGTGGCAAGTATGTGATGATGATTCTCTAGGTAGCTATCATTTCACACAATTTTATTGTCCTCTTTCCTCGGAATTTTAGACAGAAAGTGTGATCGAGCTAGTAGATGGTCTTGGACTATTAGTCAATGAAATTTCACTTGCATCTGATGCATTGTTCAATTGCAAGAACTCCCTAATAATTTATTGCTACATCTGTAGTACAGTTTTCCGTAATTTTCTATTAGTAGTTGAATGTAGTTTGTGTTTGTTATTGAAGCACATATCAAAATATCTAAAGCGATCTTTTTGTACCATGCCAGAGACTTTCTTTTTGGGTCATAATAACTTGAAAGCTGGTCACATACATCTATGCCTTTTTTTCGCTCATTGTAATAGAGCACGGCTTCCGGCTTCAAAATTGGCCGATATCCCGAAGACATTCGCAAAGTAGCGTCACATGTAGAAATCATTGCAACGTCGCGTTTGTCTCTCCATTTCATCACTGTTACATTGTCCTTCTGTCAAGCAACTACTTCACCTGTTTTAGGTCCTATTTTTTTCGATCTTATTGCCCATGGAAGTTCTTTTCTATTTGCTCGCAAAGTGCCGCATAAGTCTGTCTTATGCTGCAGCAAATATTTTGCTAATAATGTGTAATGTCTGTCCACCGATTCATGCGACTATGAACTGATATGTTGACGTTCTGTTTCAGTTGAGAAGCGTACAGATTTGTTTGAGTGACGATAAGATCTAACACTTCGTCGGTAAATATACGCCGATAAATGGAAACAACATATTGTTCACCTTGGATATGAATAGTTGGGCTGTTATTATAAGGTTGGCGTGACAGTGGTAAGATCTCCTGACTCCAGCCATTTTCTCTATCTATATCATTTACTTCTTGCAGAGTAAGCGGGTAAGGTTTACAATTCGGTCGCCTGAATTAGGGGGTGGGGGTGGTGTGGCGGGAGGGGGAGAAGTTGTAGTCACCCCCTATTTCCCCTTCCTGCCGGACGTGCTTAGTTTTTTTTATAAATTTTTAAAAACCTCATTTTGAGGTTATGTTTCGTAATTTTTATGACAATTTTAACCTGATTTATGGGGAGAGAGAGTTGGGGGACGGAAGCCCCACGCCACTTAACGTGGTGCAGCCGAGAGAAGCCCGATCGACCTACTTCTGAGTGGTTTACAAAAAAATAACCACGAAGGGAATGACGGGGTCTATTCGCTCGCTTCGCTCGCTCACTCGACCCCGTCATCCCCTTCTAACCTAACCTGTCCGAGTCGGGGTGCCCCACGTCCTAGGCTCGCTTCGCTCGCTATTGCACCCAATATAACACCAAAACATTAACTTTTATAACTACTTAAATTTATAAACATAATTTATGGCTGCCACCATTTGTAAAAAAGGATCTTTGCGATATTTAGCAGTATTCCGCCGCAACAATATTCCACTATTCACCAAAATTATGAAACTCTGAAGCAAGAAGCAACGGCGTGACAAAAACTGCCAACAAAATGGCCGGCCTAGCGAATAATTTTACACATTTTTAAATCGATTCAAATCGAAATTGGATGAATCGATTCACAAATAATCGAGATCGTAAAGATCGATTTCACAAATATCGATCTTTTTTTGATTTGCGTTAAAAGTTTATTTATGTTTACAATGTCAAAAGATACAATAAGTACAGATAACATTGAATGATTGAATTAAAAACTGTCATTCTTTACGAGTTAGGGTATATTCAACTAATTGTAAATACATACATACATACATACATACATAAACACTCACGCCTGTCACCCAGAGGGGTAGGCAAAGACTACAGACTTCCATTTGGCACGATCCTGACACACCTCTCTCGCCTCCTTCACATCCATACACCTACGCATACATGCTCGTAGGTTAAGGGTACACGGTACAAGGGTAACAGTACTTCCACGGCCTTAATTAAAATAACTGATGATATCCGCTTCGCGATGGATAATCGTCAACTAACTCTTCTTATCCTTCTGGACTTCAGTAACGCCTTTAACTGTGTTGACTATGACATCCTGTTAGCAATTTTGAAATCCCTGAATTTAACATCGTCAGTTCTACAATGGTTCAGTTCCTATCTTCAGGGACGCCCTCAACGCATACGTGTTGATGATAAGTTCTCCGATTGGTGTAACGTTGTTGCTGGTGTTCCTCAAGGCGGTGTTTTATCTCCGTTGCTTTTTTCTGTGTTTATCAATGCACTTGTTTCCGTAATAAATTTCAGCAAGTATCACCTGTACGCAGATGATGTCCAGCTGTATCAGCATTTTAGTTTAATTGACCTAAATTCATCTGTTGACAGAATGAATTCTGATCTTGCTGCAGTTCATCAGTGGGCAAGATGTCATGGGCTAATATTAAATCCTGCCAAAACACAGGTTATAATCATAGGGAGCAGAAAAATTACATGTCGACTTGACTATCAATATCTACCTAAAGTCACTCTAAACGGTGTAGATTTAGAATATGTTAGGCAGGTTAAGAACCTTGGTTTAATTTTGGCTGACGATCTAAGTTGGGTGCTACAGGTTAATGAGATCAGGAGACGTATTTTTGGAACTATGCATTCATTAAAGCTCTGGCAAAAATTTATTCCTCAGACGGCCAAGGTTACGCTAGTCAACTCTCTGTTGCTTTCTATTTTTGATTATGCCGATATTGCCTATCTATTTGTTTCTGATTTTATTTTATGAATAACTTATATGTGACCATTGAAAAATTAACCCTTAGTGACTGATTGTATCTAAAAAGAACCTTTGCAATACTCATTGTTAAATAAAATGCTACTATGTTTATTAACTCGTTATTACTTTTTTTAAATAAATTGTATTTTTGTTGCAGGTTGAAAACTGCTTAGGAGCACTCGGATATTAAATAGCTTAAGCTTTGAATATTGCTGCATATTTGATAAATGGGGGGAGCAACAAGCACAAACCATAAATACTACAAGGAGAAAAATTTTAGAAAAGTTGTTACATCATTTAAATTGAATATGTGACATATGTGCAAAGAACCATCAGTTCCTTCTATAAAAAATTAGATTGTAATTATAGAGGTTTCAATGGCTGTGGCAACATTTAAAAGAAATTGATATTTTGCGCCTAGAAGAAAGAATTTGCTTGCACTTTTAAATTAATACTGAAATGTAAAAATAAAAGACTTAGACGGCCATTACATTATCCAATTTGCAGAGCGCTAGGTGAGTTAGCATGCTAAATTTGTATTGTGTAAAGGCAGTTAGACAGCTAGTGATCCAATCTAGTGCGATCGTATGGACTCTGCCGCGCTAGCTCATTTCGTACACTAGCTAGCGCACTAAATTGCATGGTGTAAGGTGTTCTAGTGTGTTAAACACTAGCTCGGCCAGTCAGTCAGTCAGTCGGCTCGGACAGGACGTATGCTTATGTTATAAGATCAAAATGACGCAACCATCGACTAAAGAAAGGGAAGTGCTCTTGAATATAATAGAATTATACAAAGACATGCCATATCTTTGGGATAAAAAACATAAGGACTATAAAAACAAAGATATAAGAAATGATGGAAACAAAGTGCTTCTTGAAGTTTACAAAGGATTCGATAGCAACGTGACAGTGACAAATTTAGTAAAAAAAATTCAAAATTTAAGAAGCGGTTACTTTAAGGAATTAAAAAAGGTATGTACCAACCAATTCATTATTATACGAACTAAACATTTTTGTCTTATGATTTCGCGATTGTCACAATCGCAATAACTATAGGGTTTTAAAAAAATCGGTTTTTATTTAGTACTAGCCTTTAGCCCGTGACTTCGTCCACGTGGATTACGCATTAGTGACAGTTTTTTGATTATCCCGTATTTACTTTCTTCTGGAATAAATTGTTATAAACGTTGGCAGTAGAATAGACAGATTCGGTTTTTTACGATTTTTTCTATATATTTAGTGTTTATTATTTAATATGGAACGGTTTATATATTTATGTTTTAGGTAAAAGAATCGAGTCGCACTGGAGCTGGAGCTGACGAGGTGTATGTACCTACACTTTGGTACTTTGATGCTTTGAGTTTTCTTGGGTCGGTTAGTGAGCCTTGTCGTATAGACCAAGACACAATGGAAACACAGGTATGTTAATAATATGTTTATTTAATAATCAAAAATTTATTATTTTGTTGGTACGAAATTCATCATTTTGTCATGGAAAGGAACACTACCCTCTTCTGAGTTAAAATAGTCCACAAACTTGTTTCGAACTGCAACCCTTTCAGCATTAAGCTGGGTTTCATTCACACGCTTTGATAATACCAGGCCATCGGGTATCTGTTTGCGCCAATCTCCTTGATGGAATGTATATGTTTTTGTATTTTCTCGATCAACAGAATTTGTAGTAATATATCGTGGTGCTTTTCTCCGTAAAAAATTGTGCAAAACACAACATGCGAGTATAATATAATCCACTCTATCTATTTTAACACTCAGATTTCTTCGTAAAACTCGGAAGCGGGCGGCTAATATACCGAATGCATTCTCAACTACTCTTCTAGCCCTCGATAAGCGGTAGTTGAATATTCTTCTTTCATATGTTATGCCTTTGAAAGGAAATGGTTTCATTACGTTTCTTTCGATACCAAAAGCACTGTTACCCAAAAATACGTATGGTACAGTAACTTGTGTGTTCGGTAATGTGTAAGCTGAAGGCAAAAAAGGCCGTTAGTTCCCGTATATACGGTACATAAATTCGTAATTAGCGTTTACTACAGCAAACAGCACCACACTGAAAAATCCTTTATAATTATAATACAAAGATCCACTTCTTGGGGGTTTGTCAATAGCAACATGTTTTCCGTCAAAAGCACCGACACAATTATCAAAGTCCCACTTATTTTTAAAGGATCTTGCGGTATTTTCCCACTCAGCTTCTGTTTCAGGCATCTGAAAATAAAACAAATCTGTTACTATACTTAATGATTTTGTTACAGGAAATTTCGACTTCATCATCTGAAACCGAAAGTGTACGAAGATCTGAGTCAGCGTCTCCACAAAAGAAAAAGAGAGTTACGAAAGCTAGCTTACTGCAAAAGCATGAGTCACTCATAAATACAGCTGGGAAACTTCTGCATAAAAAAGAAGAGGAATGGGAAATTATAGGAAAGGGTATAGGCTTGCAACTGAAGGATCTAAATAAAAGACAGTTTTATATAGCTCAGAAAATAATACATGACACCCTCTATTACGCCCAAATGGGAATGTTAACTGAACATTCATCTGTCACTGGTCTCGAACATAATCAATCACAGCACACTTACGAGTCAACAGTTGGAAACCGTAGAACTACACTAATATATCAAGCTCCATTTCGCTATCCAGCCCGTAGACTGTATACTCAATCAGCTGGTGCATCATCATCCCCTAAATATTATATTAATTCTGATTCTCAGTCATCTTGTGCCATACCGTCGTCACCATCCCCATCTCCAAAAGGACTACTTATTGAGTCGCCTCATCCATCCCACTACACTCAACCACCATATTCTTCCCCTAAATCACTACCTCAAGAGCCCTCGCCACAGCAAGTAATTTTTCGGCCATCTCATCCATCAGCGTCCCACCATACTGCGTCTTTTTTTATTATCATTAAACTCGACACCATTGCTAAAGCAATGCCAACTTTCTGGTGTTTTTATGTGCCATATTCGTTTAGCGCTCTTCGAAAGATGCAGTTTGGACGACGATCACTACTGAAATGAAAGAAAGTTAAACTAACTAGCTTCACTAGCTAGTCTAGTGTAATGAGCGAGCTCTTTTTATAGTTCACTGCAGCACTAAATCTAGCGCTCTGCAAATTGGATAATGTAATGGGCGCTTTAATAAATATTTCTGTATTTTATTTCTTTGTATCTAAATAAACGTTAATAATGGTTTAAATTTATGTACGTGGTCACATTGTGAACACGTACATAAGTTTAAACCAATAAAAATAAATTTTCTAAGTTCTGAGAGGATTTTTTACAGCCACTTGCTACTAGGCTGAAACAAATAAATGCCTTTGCCTTAGATAAATTTAAAAACGTAAATGACACTCAATTTTTGAGGCTCGCTATAGACCAATTTTTTAGTATGGAAGATTGTCGTCTGTACGTTAGTACTGATTAGTACCTATGGTTAGTACTCTTATTAGTTTGTGTACCTAACCAACGTACCAAAACGAAACCGAAACGCATAACGCAAACTATGGAACGATCTCCCAAAACGGAAAACGGCCAACTAACCGATAACCTTCGTTGATATTCGTCGCTTCTCGTACTTGCGATAGTTTAAATAAGTATAGAAAGAGATGAAGCGAATACGGATATCGTTGCGATGTTTTGGTAGTTATCACACAACGGTGCACATTGTGAATTATAATATATAGCTAAAGCAATAAAGTCGAATTTTAAATAGTTAAAATTGTCCAAATTTTAAATTCGTGTAGTTGTGAGAGTTATCAAATTTCAAATGATCTTTAGCTCATTAGGGACAAGACTTGCATTTGTATGATCGTAGTATATTTGGTTTAGGCAACTTTATGTTTATGTTTATTATATTTTGGATGGAAAGTTTAGAATTTGCTTTTATCTAAAACGCAACAATTACGCACTTGGTCTTGGTGGCTCGTGCCCATGCCGTTCGCTAAGATAATAACATCCGTTAAGTTATTAGTAATATAATATATATGTAATATTATCCATTAATTTTTGACGTTGCGTTTGTGCATTTATTTGCAATATTTGTGTGCATTTTGTGCATTAGGTAGTTGTAATTCAGACAATTATGTGTAAAGTGTAAATATAATATAGCTTAGTATAGCTTAACTTGATTTAGACTTTAATTTTTTTGGAATACAGACTTTCAAAATGTTGCGTAAGGTTAGTGAAATATGGTCTCGCTTCGATAAAAAAGACAATTCCGACCACTTTTTCCACCGGAGCCGAATCAGCGGCTAGTGCAAATCAGGTAAACCTGCGGTTAATAGAGTTGAATTTTGAAATTGTATTGAGAATTCGAATTTAAACTTTTCTGCTAGTCCTAAGCCTAGTTAAGCATGAAGAAAAATCGCCAACTTAAATAATTGTTAATAAATACATTAACTAAAATAATTTTTTATAAATATATATAGATTAAAATTATGTTTACTTCTTAAGAATACACTTTAATTATAGACTTTGAAATCAAACTCTGATCCTAAGTCTCAATTTGAAAATAATGGGTATGAAAATTATAGAAATAAATAAGGATAGAATGAACGTAATTTTATCCACTACCCCATTATCATCCCGTGGGTGAAACAAATCAGGAGATGAGCAGCAACGTTTTCGTAATAAAGACTATGAACAATGTGTGTCGTGAAGACACACTACAGAAGTGAAACTTTTGTATTACAGGGAACCATTTAAATTATTCATCAATGACTTATGAATAACGTAGATTTTTCAAAAGTCATTGATTCTTCGATCTTAAGAAGAAATATTATCGGTTTAGTTTGTTAATTCGGTAATTGTAAATGAAAAAATGAAAATGAAAATGAAAAATGATTTATTGATTTACAATGATACATTTTAAACCAGTCGCAAGGGCCCCTGTACTAGGTTGGGAACCTGTATTACTGGGTACCCCGCTCATCCACCAAGACAATACTATGTTAATCAATAAATAACAAAAAGCAAGGCAAGATCTAGCATTAGAATGTAAATGAAATTTGGAATATAATAATAATTACATGATAAGCATGCATGCTAAGCATGCACGCGTTTGTGTGTGTGTGTGTGTGTGTGTGTGTGTGTGTGTGTGTGTATGCGCGTATGTGTGTGTGTGTGTGTGTGTGTGTGTGTGTGTGTGTCTGTGTGTGTGTGTGTGTGTGTGTGTGTTTTGTGGTTGTGTGGTAGTGCTTTAACAATTGGTGTGGCTGTTCGAAGTATAAAAGTTATGTAATAAATTGTTCAGTTTCTTCGTAGTTTAGTGTTAATAAAAATTGAGTCACTACACGTTTAACTTTAGTCCACGTCAAGGGGTAAATATTCAATCTGCTGTTGAATTTGTTGTAAATAGATATAGATTGGAATACGTATTGCTTTTGTTTAAACTTTGTTTTATTTTGTGGTATATTGCAAATTTTGGCACTCCTACGTTTTGGTGTCTGATGAGGTATGAAAGGTAAATGTCGATGCTTTTTTAAAATACAATTCAATATATACATCTGGCGAGTGGTAAGCAATTTGTAAGATTTATGTAGTTCACAAGTTGAAAATCGAAACGGTTTCAAGAACATCACTTTAATTAGAGCTCTTTGAGCTCTTTCTAGTCTTATTAGATGTGTTTTAGCTGCACCACCCCAAACAGGTATGCAATAACTCATTACCGATTGCGCTAGAGCTTTGTAGGTGGTTATAAGAGTTGTTTCATTTGCAACACACCTGAGTTTTTTAAATACCCATGTTAGTTTCCTTATCCTGTCAGCAATGTTTTCAATGTGTTGACTCCAGGTAAGGTGCTGATCAATAGTTACACCGAGATATTTGATGGTACTAGTTCTAGTGATTTTATCACATGAGCAGTTATTATAGCTATCTAAATATGGCTTATGGCAGGTATGAACTGTTAGGTTAAATTTAGAATTTGGTTGTGTATTTTTCCGTACGGTAAAAGGTATGAATTTAGTTTTGTTAATGTTAAGGGTCAGAAGGTTCGATCTTAGCCAGTTAGATATATGGTATATTCCGGAGTCAGCAATAATCCTTAGATTTTCCCATGATTTTGCGTTAAAAATGAGAGCAGTGTCATCTGCGTAGGTGTATATTTGACAATTTTGTAGGCTTAAATTGCATAGATCGTTGACATAGATTAAAAATAGAGTAGGTCCGAGGACGCTACCTTGAGGGACACCATAAGAGATATTTGATGGACGGCTAAGATATTCACCAAGCTTGAGTTGTTGCTGACGTTCGGTAAGATAGTCTGTTAGAAGGGCGTGAGGCAGGCCTCTTATACCATATTTATATAGTTTGTCTAACAGGATAGGGATAGAAACGGTGTCGAACGCCTTGGCCAAATCCAAAAAGACTCCAAGACATTTGTTACCAGAGTCCAGTTGCTTACTTATTTCTTCAGTTAAGGCTAACACAGCATCCTGAGTAGAAATTCCATTTCTAAAACCAAATTGGTGTTTAGAGAGTAGGTCGTTATCTATGAGATATTTTTTCAATCTATTATTTATTAGTTTCTCTAGTATTTTTGATAGAACTGTTAGCACAGAAATTGGTCTGTAGTTGTCCACATCATCTTTACTTCCACTTTTATGTATAGGGGTTACTAATGCCCTTTTAAATGTTATGGGAAATCGGCCATTTTTAAAACAGAGATTGCAGATATGGCAAATTATAGGTGTAAGGGTGTGTCTGGCCATTTTAATAAATGATGTTGGAATGTTATCCCATCCTGGGGCAGACTCATTAGAGAGATCGCTTATGACCGAATTTATTTCCAACGGGTCGGTATCTAGTAGAACAAAAGAATTCATTGGAGTTGGCATTTTAGTCATGTAATTATTTACTATAGGAGGGGCAGAGTTTTTTAAATTTTCAGCCAATTTTTTGCCTATACTAGAAAAGTGATCATTAATAAAATTTACAGATTCTACAGGGGAGGACGCTATAGTTGTAAGTTTATGTGTGTCGTCAGTATTATCTTTATTAACATAGCAAATTGATTTAATATTCTTCCACAGCATTTTGGGGTTATTTTTTGCATTATCCAATTTCCTCCTTTCATAATTATTTTAAGCTTCCGGACAAGCTTATGACAGTGATTTCTGTAGCGTATATAAGTTATTTTTAAAATGTGATTATCAGGATTTTTTTTAACTTTATAATGTAATTTATCTCGATTTCGTAGACATCGTAATACTCCAGGTGTTATCCATGGCTGAATACAGCGTTTTCTAACGGGAATTGTGGTTATCGTTTGATTATTTTTCATTGCTACTGAAATTATACTAACCAAAGCATCAGCAGCCAGTGTTGGGTCATGTATGTCTAGTATTTTTATAAGTTTGGACTTTATTTCATCAAGAGTTGTTATATAATTTACGGAAACCTTAGTTTTCGAAACATTGCGGCGCACAGGCTTATTCATAAGGTTTAGAAGAACAGTGGAATGATCAGTGGGGGCATTAGTGAGTACGAGAGATTTCGTTGGGTGTACTGTTTTTAGCATCATATGATCATAGCACATTTTGTCACGAGTTGGAAGCCTATGAGCAGGAAGCAATCCATGGTAAGCAAGTGAGGTTAAATAATTGGGGCAGTTAGTGTCTATGGAACCGAATTTGATATCTATGTTTATGTCACCGGTTAAAATAATGTTTTGATAACTTTTATAACGGCGGAGTAAGGTTTGAAGAGATGTGGTGAAGTCGTCAGTGTTTCGTATTGAAGGTGTACGATATATACCTATTAGAACTGTATCAGTTAGGGTAAGCACAAGACAAGAGGCATTTCTAATGCAAGGTTCCGATATTTTGTAGTTAAGTTTCTTATGTATGTAAAATACCACGCCGTCACACTGATTTAAAGTGTTTTTTGTAAAATATTTATTATAGTCATTATTAAGTGTTGGAATGGGCTTATTTTTTGAAAGATGACACTCTGTCATGACTAGTATGTCGCAATGAATGTTTAGTGAGTCCAACATTACTTGAAAAGTATCAAAATTTTTATAAATACT